TTTTCATCTAATTTTTTTAATTTGAAATTTAACGATTACTTTGTTTTTTTAACAAAAAATAGATACGAAGTACATTAATAATAATAATAATAATAAACAAACGGAAACATTAAAGCGGAGACTAAATCCATGTTTCACTTTTAACTTCAACTTTAGCCAAAACTTGATATGGCCACTCCTCTTCCGGAACCGAATGAGTGGAAGCAGCAAAAACTTGGAGGCTGGAAATAACAAGTTCCCACTCTTCTTTCTCTTCTACACGTTTGACCAATCAAAACAGCGGAGACCAGCGCCAAAAGCGAAAACTACCAAAATACCCTTGAGGAATCTCAGAAGCCCCTCCTAATCCCCACACGCCCAATTTTTAGGCATTTTCCTTAGCGTTTTCCTTTTTGGTTTATCTGGAATGTTGAAGTTGAATCGTCGGCCTCAAGCAAAGCAAATGGATCTCCCACCACTTCCTCTCTCTGTATATAAACCAAAAGTTCATACCGAGTAATCGAGTTTAAGAGAGAGAAATTCAGCGCGGGTTTTAGAGCGAGAGAGAGAAAGTACAGCGATGGATGATGCGATTGCGATTGGCCGGATCAAGAAGACGAAGAAGGGGAGATCCTTCAGCTTCCGGAGGCTAAGAGAGTCGTGGAAGTGGAAATTCCTTCGGGATTTCAAGAGGAAGAGATTGAATCTCCACATTGGTTTCTTGGACGCCATCATCTTCCGAATCGCCTCCCTGTTTGAGGCCATTGCGTTGGTAGGTATCGCCGGCTTCTTCTTCCTCTGTTGTGGCTGCCACTTCTGATCGATCCTCCCAAACTGAATCGATCAATTCGTATGTAATCTAATCTCTGTTTGTAATTAATTAATATATATGAGTTTTCTTCTTCCGTTTTTCCAGTCATTCTCTTGTCAATCAATTGTCTGAATCTCTGGCAAACGTCGATCAGCTTTATTTCCAGATTTTCTAGTTTCTTTTTCTTTTTCAATCGTTTTAATAAGAATGCTTCATAGGTTCGCAAGCAAAACTCTCGAGAGTTCCGAGTTATATTCAATTCATTATAAAATTGTATTATATATTGAAGATTTTGAGTTTGTTGGTTGGTAGATAGCGAGGGGATAAAGAATTTCTCCGCAATAGTTAAGGTGAAGATAATTTGAAATTAATTTCCTTGAAGAATTTCTGGAGGAATTAAATATATTTTTCCATAAGAATGAAGAAATGAATAAATTAGTTGGGAAATGGGAATATGGTGAAAACCAAGCTGGTCATCCATGACGACGGAGGAAGAGTCGTTGTCAGGAAACTGAATATTTTTTTTCCAACTGTCTCTAATTATTCCAATATTAGAGCTTTCACGTTGTCTCCTCTCCTCTCTGGCAATATTCGCTTTTCTCTTTTGTATTCTTTTGAAATATTTTACTTTTGCCCATTAATATATATCTTGAATTTAATAATTAATATATATCTTGAACCAATAGGCTGCAATTTCAATTCCTCATTCTCACGCATGTAATACCATATTTTAATAGACGTTAATAACATTTTCTTTATTTATTATGAGATGAATATTTGAATTTTCATCCTAAGACCTGATTCTATATTTTAAACCTTGGATAACTTTCATTAATATTGTTCTTTCTCTTATCTTTGAATTTCAAAATGGCTATTTTAATCTTAAACTCATTTTAATTCTTTTAACTTTTAAAATATCTATTTTAATTTATGAACTTAAAAATAAATAATTATTTTGGTCCTTGCATTGTTTTATAGTTATTGGTTGATCATTGTTAAAATATCTATTTTAATTTATGAACTTAAAAATAAATAATTATTTTGGTCCTTGCATTATTTTATGGTTAGTGGTTGATCATTCATTTTGATGGATTTTTTTTGGTACAACGTGTGGGGTGAGGCATCGAACTCACAACCTTTTGATTAAATATATATGCATTTATTTGATGTATTGATGGTGTGACTTTGAGTATGTATATTAATATCCTGACGTGAGCTTATAGTAAGGTTATGGATAAAAGTGATAGAATAATAGAAAATATCAAATTAATGTTTCTTTTGTTAGTACAACAAGTGGGTTGGGAGATTCGAACTCGTGATTGGATTGATATTAATGTACTGTCGTGAACTTGTATAATGAGTCTGTGAATATTAAATGATAGAATAATAACAAACATATCAAAATAATGTTTCTTTTTTTAGGGCAAAATACATTTTTGGTAGGTAGGTGTCTACTTGGTCCTTGAAGTTTCAAAATGAACACTTTTGGTTCCTGAGGTTTGAGATAAGTGTCTAATTGGTCCCTAAAATTTCAAAATGAACACTTTTGGTCCTTGAAGTTTAAAGTAGGTGTCAACTTGGTCCCTCAAGTTTTAAAATAAACACTTTTGGTTCTTGAAGTTTGAGAAATAGTTCTAAATGGTCCCTGATTTTTTTTAGCTGTTAATTAACTAATATTATAACGACGTGGCAAATTGTAATTAAATTGTTTGTTATAGTTGCTGATGTGACAAATTATATTAATTAAATGATATATATCCGGTATGAATGGCGGACGATGGCGGCAAAGACGTGGTGGTCACCGGAAAAGGGTGAGAGGAAGAGAGAGGAAAAGATGAGGAGAGGAGGGAGAGAACACCATCATCTACACATATATTATTTAATTAATATAATTTGTCACATCAGCAACTACAATAAACAATTTAATTGCAATTTGTTACGTCATTTTAATATTAGTTAATTAACAGTAAAAAAAGGACCATTTATAACTATTTCTCAAACTTCAGAGACCAAAAGTATTCATTTTAAAACTTTAGTGACTAATTAGACACCTACCTCAAACCTCAAGGAGCAAAAGTGTTCATTTTGAAATTTCAGGGACCAAATAGACACCTACCTCAAACCTCATGGACCAAAAATGTATTTTGTCCTTTTTTTAGTACAACAAATGTCAGAGACATTATCAATGAACTAAGTTCGTGTTGGCAAATAATGATTGTTTTTACCGTTTAATTATTAAAATAAAATAAATTTGAAAGCTTGGTTGTTGAAATAAGAATTAAACTTAAAATATAGTAAAAGTTGAACCCAAAAATATAACTCAACTCTAAATAACATTTATTTTATCTATTTCTTTTCTTACGTTAGAGATTGAAATTCCCGTGACCTCACATTTTTTGTACTAAAAATTATGAAGGATAGAAATTACATGTAACATATTTGTTTCCAAAAGTAGAGCGAAACTTCGAAGCTAAATCTAGGAACATTAATTGGATAAACGCGTTACACATCATCATTACTCTTCGACATGTTATTCAACTTCAAATTTATTATTATTGAGTAGAGGGATTCATTTGGAACTTTCTAAAACACAAGGGCGATATTAAAAAAATAAATAAATGTTGCGGATTGAAGTTGACAAATTAGATCATAATGATATATTTAACTAAAATAAAACAAATTAAAGTAGGACCAACAATTATTCAAAGTCAAAATCATTATTTGGTTTAAATCGATTTTTGAAACTTAATAAAGTTTTGACCAGGAATAAAATATAAATTGTGGGACATAAACATTGGTTACGTAGCAATTTATAATATATAAGAAAAGGTGAATATTCTTTCGGTATATTTTATGAGATATTTTCGGATGAGTTTGTATTTTATTTTTTAGTATAACAAGGGTGGATTGTGAAGATTTAAACATTTCACTTCAAAAGAATGAATTATATGTGTTTACTGCTGAGTTATATTCAAGTTGAACTTATAACCATTAATATAATTCAATGTACGTGGGTGTTGGATAATTTGGAATATTCTACCAAAATTGAAATCCCAAATTCCTAATGTTATCTCGAAAAATTCGAGTGGCTAGTGGAATATAAATGGATGAATATTCTTGTGTGACGGTGAGGTTTGTTGATATTCATGAGGCTCTCGTGGCTTGTCTACAAGCACTCGAGCTACCAATGGTTGGTCTCTTTCACCTTCAGGATGGTGTAAAGTACATGTTGATGCAGCGTATAAGGGAAAGAACTATGAGAATAGGTATTGGAGATATTTTTTGAGATGAGCATGGGAGGATCCAAGCGACCCTATCAATAGTTGTATTCTCCCTTCTCATTGAATCTTTGGTCGTACTTGAGGCTTTACGACTTGTAATTAGACTAAATCTACAAGAGCTCGTGGTTGAATCAAACTCAACTTAGGTGATAGGGCTCATTAACGGGATATTGAAAGGATTAATGGAGTTAATATATACCTAAATTGAAGACATTTAAAATTTGGTGAGGAAGGATCAAAAACACTGTGTTTGTCTATGTTGGATGAGGTTTCAACCATGAGCTTGCCAAATTCGCTTCAAACAACTTTGTTTACACTCGTGGATGTACGATTTTTGGGAAGAAAACTCATAATTTACATGTAGCCCAAGTGACATTCACATCTTATAGAGTGAAACTGTTGTCAAAAAAAAAAAGTAACACATATTATATTATAGGTAAGAAATAAAGGTAGGTTTAAATGTTATTTTTTGTTTCTATATTTTCTGACTTTTGTTCATTTTAGACTATGTATTTTCAAAATATCTATTTTGATCTATGTGTTTTTAATTTTTATTAATTTTAGTCTATGTGTTTTCAAAATTTTCGTTTTAGTCCCTATTTATAAAATGTTAACACACATTTTATAGATAATGTAAATCATTTAAAACAAATTTATACATATATTTCAAAAAATTCATCGAGTGAATTATCATGTTAAAATTTTGAAGAAAAAAAAACAAATTAGATAAAAATAAAAAATAAAAGGACAAAATAATCTCTTTCTAAAAATATGGACGAACCAAAATAAAAGGAAATTGCAAAGACTAAAATAAATGAAAATTGGACAACTTCTCGAAATCACGAAGACGAAAATATTAATTTCGTACTAAAAAAAACCATTTAATTACAATTTGAGTAAATACAATGTCCGGGGTTTTGCAATTTTGATGCATAAATAAATATCTTATTCTTCAGAGCGGGTTCTGTAGCAGAAGATAACTGCCGGAGGCACCGCCTTCTTATCTGTTCCCGCTTCTTCATCCTCGCCTGCAAAAACCCCGCCACAGAAAAAGAGATGCAGACCTCAATCTGCTCGCCCTCTTCATCTTCTTCTCTCGCCATTTTGAAGCTTAACCAGAATCCTCTTCTAGGTCACACTGTTTCTCCCCGTTTTCCCCTAAAAAGAAGACCCGCTTCCACTACCCGAGCACGTCTATCCGCCCATAGGGAATCAGTGTTGAAGGATTTTCAGGATCGACGAGCTCTCAAGGTACTTCTAAATCAGTCGCCGCTTTTGCTCTTTCAAATTTCATTTTCTGACTTCAATTGAAAGAAAATGTGGTATTGTGATGTCCGAAGGTGCTGGTTTCATTTTTCTTTTCTTATCCGCATTTGAGGATACGGCGATTGAAATTAGAAAAAGGATTGAGAATAGATTTGGTTAGATTCTTATGGTGTTCATATAGCTGTTAGATTGAGGACCGCTTTCTCTGTCTAGTTCTTCAATTAAATTGTATTGTATTTCAGATTATTTCAGGTTTGCAGAATCTGGACAGGGAAAATGTGGCTTCAGTAGTCACTGCAGCAGATAAGGTATTAATAGTCTACCTTTTAAATCTTAGTAATCAAATTTATATTCAAACTCACACATAGAGAAGTACATTATGAATAAATCAAGTGAATATCCATCTTGACCTAACAGTTTTAAGTGTAGGCGGTTTATTGGTAATTTAACAAACTTCATTTATAAACTATCTGCCCTTAGTAAACAAAGTGAAAGTGGTTTGTCCAAAATTACTTTCCCTATATAAAAAATTTGGAAACAGAGTACTGGCCGTGTAAGAGAGAGATGTGATTATGCAAGTCCTGTTCTCACTTATTTTTACCCTATGATCAACATTTCTGAATTTTGTTATCTTCCTGATTGTCTTCTTGAATTATCATCTCATTACCAACTTGTTATAGTTTTAGTGAGTTCAACTGCAATATGTTTTATCCTCAGATATGAAATTCCTCTGGCTAATTCATGCTAATGATAGTGTACCAGCTTCATCATAATTTTCTTTGAGCCAACTAATAGAATCTATTACATCAGACTTAAATATGCAATAAAAAATGATAGTGTACAATGATCTACTGAAATTTAGTTATTTGTTATTCCGGTTTAAAGTTAAAGAAGCAAGTGTAATTTCTCACCAAGTCAAAGTCATCTCTATTCTAGGGAGGAGCAACTCATGTGGATATAGCTTGTGACGCGGAGTTAGTGAAGCTTGCTACTAGTTTAACTACTCTTCCAGTAAGTTCATAAACTCTGATGTCAGAAAAAAATTATGTTCATTATTCTGAAAACTGAATCTTCATCCTTTGTTTGCATGTTCAAAAGTTTTTCACCTAGTAAATTGAATCTTCCTGTTGCAGGTTTGTGTTTCTTCTGTGGATCCTGCACAATTCTTACCTGCTGTTGAAGCTGGAGCATTAATGGTTTGACCACCAATTAAGAAATTACTAAATGAACAAGGGCCTTATCAGAAACTCTATTAATGAAACTAACTTGTATACGAAACTGATGGAAAATGCAGGTTGAAATCGGAAACTACGATTCGTTTTACGAGGCAGGAATAGTTTTCTCTGCAGATCAGGTACAAGACGTTATGTTATCATTATGAACGTGTTCGTATTTGAAGCATTAAGAATCTAACATTGCACTTAATTGAGACAACCTCCAAGCAACAAAATCTTGAATCAAATGGTTTGACCATCAATTGGTGTTTGATTCATGACCTCAACTACTTTGATGCATATATTATTACTTCTATATTATGTTTCTATGCAGATACTAAATCTAACAAAAGAAACTAGGAGATTATTGCCATCTGTCGTCTTATCGGTCACTGTGCCCCACACACTTGGGCTTCCTGATCAGGTTCGAGCAGGCACTAATGCAAGTTAACCAATTTGTCACCAATTCTTTGTAGCTATTCTAACTTAAACTTTGATACATAAACAGGTCAAGCTGGCAGAGTTGCTGGAACAGGAAGGTGCTGACATTATACAAACTGAAGGAGGAAAATGTTCTCATCCTTCAAAGTCTGGTGTGCTTGGCTTGATTGAGAAGGTAAGATACATAATTTATTAGTCGAAGCTTGCAAGATTTATTATACGGAGCCCAAAATAAACGACATTTCAAAATGAATTTGTGACAATCTTTGCCCAAAAACAAGACAAAACCTGAAGTTGAGACAATCACCAGTTAGGGAAATGACTATTTAAATGAAGCGTTCTGCTATATCAAGATGAATCCTCTGCGTGATGTTGTTCAAGTTTTTCCCTTAACAGAAGTTTCTTCTGGTTTTGGTACATGGGCTATTTTCTATTTTCTGCTAAACTATGAAAGAACAAGGGGGAAGAGTCACTCTTTGCCTTATATGACTTCATTGAATATTTACTTTCGCAACCGCTTAGTGAAGTCCTGATACTATTGGTGATTTAAATGTTATAACTTACCTATTTGATTTTGATGATTACAGGCAGCTCCCACATTAGCAGCAGCATACTCAGTCTCAAGGGCTGTAAAGATTCCCGTCATGTGTTCATCTGGATTAAGTTCTGTCACAGCACCTATGGCTATCACAGCTGGGGCCGCAGGCGTGGTATGCGACCTCTTCTCAACCTCTGTTTAGTCTCCTCAGATTGAAATTCTGGGTCTATGAGATAATGTCTGTCAAGAGTTTAACAGAGTGATTTTGATATCTTTATCTAACACAGGGCGTGGGATCAGCAGTTAACAAGCTCAATGATGTAGTAGCAATGATTGCAGAGGTTAGGAGCATTGCGGATTCATTGGCACCATCAGCTGCCAGGCTAAGCAGACCCGATGGCGCGTTTTTGAAAATGTAGATCTATGGTTTTCTTGGGCATATGGGAATATTAGCTTGGCCTCACCTGGGAACGGTAGGAAAACCTTTGCCTTCTAAATTAAGATCCATATGTTTGGCTTTTATCATAACATGCTTTTTGATAAGGTTCCAAAGGATGTTTCCTATTGCCTCCTCTCATGTTAGTAGACACAATAATTTAATAAAAATGTCTAGTTTTGGAAGGACAAGGCATCGAACCTGCATTTATCACCGCATGTGTTTCAAAAGATGACGACTATGTTTCGGAGCAGCAAGAATTTTCCTTTGCAGAAGAACAAAAAGAATTCAAACCTGCAAATCACTAACACTGAAGAATCGAAAAAGAACTCTGCCAGAAGAGCACATTGAAGTGCTGGAAACATACAAAGTAATTATAGTCATATTCTTTGAATCAAGAATACAACTTGACAGTCTCTCGGGGTGAAGCAACTACAATTGGTTAACAAAAGATGTGAGCTCCTAATAAGCATTGAACCAGATCAAAACCTCCTAGTGATCGTTAAAGAAGCCATTTACAGCATTAATTTGTACAGAAAATAAATATTAGTAGTTCTGAAAAGACAGAAAAAWTAAAACGAAATAATGAGCTGGTTGCCCTCGCATGAGCTCTTCCTACAGAATACCAGTTATAACAAACAACAGCTACACAGTTCTATCCATCAATCTCCCAATCTTCCTCAGATTCTTCATCTATTCCACTTTCCTGCAGAAGGTTGTGTAAAAGCTTATTCTCCTATTCAAAGCATAGGAGGATTATTCTGCTGTTTAATGAGAAATCAATAAAACGAACTTACTTGAACGAGATCTGTTGTATAGTGCCCTTGAAATCTAAAAATAATAAAATCACTAAACTATGGTAGAGCACTAGAGCTTACCTTCCTCTTCTTATATTCTGCCATGGCTTTATCAAACTCTGCACGCTTCTCCGTGGCAATATCATAATATTGTACTTTTTCCTGATAAAAGAAACCAAATACTTGGAATTTTTTACGTTGTTGGTCATATTTTTCAATTGCAATAATACAATGTCATAATCAATATTTCATTTATAACGTCTCCATTTAAACTAATAATGAAATAAAAACACTACACTTGCATGTTTTTTGTGTCATCTGAAGAAGGGTTGCAGGTAGATCGATACAAACCAAATTGCTAGGATTCATAACAATCTAAGTTTTGCAAAGAAAATAAATTGGAGTATTCTATCAATCGCTAAATTTGGGACAAGGTTAAGCATCAATATAATATGAACCTCATACGTCATGGTTTTCCACTTCTCTCCACATGCCTTGCCAACCTGAGATATGGAATCGAAGTACCAAATCAACATTTTACTGTAAATGAGCAAGAGAAGAGGATAAACAGACCCACAAATCCAGAGGAATTATAATAAAACTTCCCCTTACATCACGCATTGACTTGACATCTGGATTCTGTTCTTGAAATTCCTTGCGGAAGTCATCCCTTGAGATCGAGAATACAATTTAGTTTTGCAAGCTAAATATGCCAATGCTCATCAAATATAGTATCAAATCATGCTGAAAAGCAATACTGCAAGGCGACACCCAACAAATTAACTACATTTAATGAATCATAAAGTAAACTTGGACTCGAAAGTGGATTTAGATATCTTTTTGCAGATGCATCCAAATGTTGATCCCAAAATTAATGAAATTTAATAAGAGGAAAATTTAAATACAATCAGTATTCTGATACATTTTGACTCTAAATAGTTAAATTTTAGCTCAATTTCTCACTTCAAGTATCTATCACAGAGATTTACAGTAGTTACTAATACAGTTCTACACGTCCATCTCTCTCAAGATACTACAAACATTGGGTTCTCAAAATCATGAGTTCATATCAGCATGAGTCAACATAGCATGCAAGTATCATATCTTAGTTGTATACTTAAACATGGCGGCGGTGAAGGTCTTGAAGGCTCTCGTTGAGTCACAATATTGAACCATATCCACCAAGATATATGCACATGTGCCGACCATATCAAAACCAGCAGTGAATACACATATATTACTTCCTCAACTTCATTGAGTTCAAAGTTAAAGAAGCAGACTTGTAAAAGATGAACAGAAGAGGTACATTGCATCTAAGCAGACAAGCTTCACTATCTTAGATTGAAAGTACTTCATAATTCATATTACCACCACTTAAAAAAAAACCATAAATCAATAACCAATCAAAGCTTTTCATGAAATTTTATAACACCCTTACATCATTTATCATATGTGATGGAACCATGAAAACAAAAACGTTCAGGTGCTACTGACTTGTGCAGTTCAAGTGCTGAAGAAAGTAACTTATTAAATGAGATGACAATAAAAGAGGGAAACTTACAAAAAGTAAAAGAAAGCAGTAGGTGGTTTCTTCGGTTTATTTGCATCAAATTTATCATTCTTCTTCTTCTCCTTTGATTTTGGTTCTTTATTTGTCTTTGCTCTCTTGTCCGAGTTAAATCTACTAGCTCTTGCTGACCTCTTCATCTCTTCACTTCTAACACTTAATCCGGTGTCCCTGAAGGTTTCCACAAAATTTGCAATGAGTGACATACTGAGAGAAAGAGAGGGGGCAAAATATGGATTATTGATCATCYTTATAACACTAAACATCTTTATTAACAGAATGATCTACAGAGGCCTTAGGGGTTGTCTTTTCATATTTTTCACGGTTAGAATTTTACTAGAATTCATACCCTGAATGAACATAAATTCACATAACTGCTTCCCACCATTAAGATGTTTGCCCTAAAACTGTAAAGCAGCCACTCTGAATTCAATTCATCATAACTTCAAGAGGGAAGAATTGCCACTCAAAAGAGCCAAATTGGTTCTATTAATTTAAAAAATTCTAAATAACAGAAGTTGTTCGGTGTGCTCGTTCTTCTCTATTACTTTCTATGATGGTGTTTTCTGGTTTTTATCAGCCAAGAAGAAACTTCAGAAACATATCTCGACAAACGATGACGGTGAATTTAAACGAGAGACATGGAAAGTTTGGTGTTTAGTATTTACTCTTGGGACGTTTCTTCAAACGCTGCGGAAGAAGCACACAGAAGCTGAAGCTGATTTCAGGAGTTTCTTCGCTTTCGCCATTACTGTGCGCCGCCGTCGTCCTTTCGGTCTTCAATTGGTAAGCTCATCACGGCCCGGTTCAGACTCGGTCTTCCAGCGTTTGCTCCGTTTACCGGTTGGGAGTTCTTTTCTTTTTTTATTTTTTTTAATGGAAAATCAATTTAGATAATTGATATCTTTATCCATTTAATTTATGTTTTTTTAATATGAAGATCCAAATCTACGATACTGTCTATTAATTAGGGGCAAGAACTCTTGATCGAAGATACATGCATTGAATTGATATTTCGAGTTCGTATTTAGTTAAAGTGATTTTTCTTTTCCGCTCGTAGGGTGGATGTTCAACGACTTCTAATTTGAAAATACATATTAGATTAATTTAGTTATATTTATATTGTCAAATTTGCAAGCTAAAGTGGTAATTAATGATATCAATGTTTTAAGTGATTGCGTATGGAATAATTTTTTTTTGACAAATTTATTAATCACTAAAGCTGAAATTATTTTTATTTTTCAAAGAAAAATAAAAAAGAGGACAAGAGCACGAAAGAGGAATGAATTGGTTGATAGCCTTGACCGGTCCTATTCAGTCAATTTCGCAGTCGAGTATTGTTGTCAAAGTCTCACTCTCTAAAGAATGAGAAAGACTACATCTAACTCTCTCCAAAAAACTTGAATACCGATGAGATCCGAGCGATTTTTGATGCGACATTTAAATTGAACCATTAAAAAAAAAGATGCCACATTTAAATTGACTGATTTTTGTTAAAATTGGGTAAATATGAAAATGTTTACAAATAAGGTGCAGTTTTGTTTCAAACCCCCAAAAAAAAAGAGAAAAAAAAAAGGAAAAGGAAAAAGAAGGGGCAGTTTTGTTATTAGGGGGCACTTGTGAAAATTTTCAAAAAATTTAGGCGGCCCATGAGATTGGGCCTATGGGCCTGCGTTATTTTTCAACCGGTTGGGCCGACCTACGTCTAGCCCAGTTGGATGAGGCTGGTAGGAGCCTTCCCGCCAAAAAGTGAACATCCTTCGCGCCAAATCTGAACTCAATGTCTAAAAATAAATAAATAAAATAAAAAAGAAAAGGAACTTGACACGACAGCGCCCAATAGGAAGCCTTCCGTTTCGCGCCTCAGCGTTCTCTCACTCACTTTCCCTCTCTCTGCATCTCCTCCGCCGCCGTTCTCCATCTCCACCGGTTCGTCGACGAAGAAGCAAAGGAAAGGAAAGTTAGGGCCAGGAAAATGGACGTCGGTGAAGAAATTAGGGCAGCTCACAAGCGAGACTTTTTGGAATTCCTTGAACAAGTTGTGCGTTTTTTTTCTCCCTAAATCCTCACTTCACACACTTCTTCTTTCTGTTGCTAATAGTACTCACAATCTCTGGTTGCTTTACTGCATTGATTCAGGTTGGAAAGGGCATTTACATGGACGAGATCAAAGCTATGATTAATCACAAGCGACATCGCCTTATAATCAACATTTCCGATCTTCATTCTTTCAGAGATCTCGGTCCCAGGTTTCTCTGCTTTCTTTCTTCATCATTTCTCTGTCTATTGAACTATTACTCGGTTAATTCCACTTTATAGCCATCGGAGGGTAATAATTGGTTTTAAGTCGTCAAAATCAACTACTAGACCACTTGCCGCAACGAAACGGTTTTATTCTTTGGGACTATGGGGAAGAACGTTAGGTTTATACTGTGATTGTCGCATATTGGCTGGTAACCAAAGAAAATATTGCCTGTACCGAGAGACATAATTGTTTTACGTAGTTTTGTTGGAGCCCCCCCTTACCAGTTGCGTCAGAGTATTTATAGGTCCAGGATGTGAAGTGATGGATTTGTTTTTCTCTTCAGCTCTTTTAGTTTATTTCTCTTCATTTGTCTTTAGGGTTCTCCGGAATCCCAGTGAGTATATTCAACCATTCTGCGATGCAGTCACAGAAACTGCACGCAGTATTGATCCAAAGTACCTCAAGGAGGGAGAGCAAGTTTTGGTGGGCTTTGAGGGCCCCTTTGTTTCTCGCCGCGTCACTCCCAGGGAACTTCTCTCTCAGTTCATTGGCTCCATGGTCTGCGTTGAGGGGATTGTTACTAAATGTAAGATTACTATTTAGCTATTTCATGCTCATCAATCATGATTTTGATTGCCTTTAATAATCGTTTTGATGTTTGTCTAAATTTTCAAGCACGTACCTTTGGTTTCTATAGACCCAGTTAACCCACGAGTGTGGTTGGCGGTTACTGATTATAGGTTCTCTTGTAAGACCAAAAGTTGTTAAAAGCGTTCATTTCTGCCCCACAACTGGGGGCTTTACCAGCCGTGAATATCGTGACATTACATCCAACATGGGCTTGCCCACAGGATCTGTGTATCCCACAAGGGTAACCTCAAATTATTTGTTCTCCAAGTAGTCATGCTTTTAACAATAAAGGAAATTTCGTTGAAATAAGTTATTTTTTCAGGATGATAATGGCAACTTGTTGGTTACTGAGTATGGCTTGTGTAGATATAAAGATCACCAGACCTTATCAATGCAAGAAATGCCTGAGAATTCTGCTCCTGGCCAGCTTCCACGAACCGTGGATGTTATTGTTGAGGATGACTTAGTTGACTGTTGCAAGCCAGGTGACCGTGTTGCTATTGTAGGGATATATAAAGCACTCCCAGGAAAAAGCAAGGGTAGTGTGAATGGAGTATTCAGGTAGCTGCAGGAATGTTGTTTAAGAACGTTTTTGTATTCTTATGTGTGCATCATCCTTTCACTTTCTCTATGAAAGTATGGTTTCTCACTGAAAAAAGAGAGTTTCTGCATGTCTTGCATGTTTAACCCTTTGATGACTTCCAGTAGGAAACTAAACTTTGTAACCTTGTCTTGTAGGACTGTTCTTGTAGCTAACAATGTTTCGTTACTAAACAAAGAGGCAAATGCACCAATATACAGTCCTGAGGACTTGAAGAATATTAAAAAGATAGCTGAAAGGGATGACACATTTGACCTTCTCGGTGATTCTCTTGCACCTTCCATATATGGACATTCATGGATAAAAAAAGCAGTGATACTACTGATGCTTAGTGGAGTGGAGAAGAACTTGAAGAATGGCACCCACTTAAGAGGGTGAGTACCTTCAATCATTTACATTTTCTATTTTATAGAAACAGTACACATACACATATTTTATTTAAGAAAAATTTATTCTATATTTTATTAATTTAAACCTCTTGCCTACCCCTTCCTAAGAGTAGTGTTGTCTTCTTTCTTCTAGTGATATCAACATGATGATGGTTGGAGATCCTTCAGTTGCCAAGTCTCAACTTTTAAGGGCGATAATGAATATTGCACCCTTAGCAATTTCCACTACTGGTCGTGGGTCATCGGGTGTTGGGTTAACTGCTGCTGTTACATCAGATCAGGAAACAGGTAACCCTTTTTGGTGGTTCCCACATGTCTGGCATTATTATGATACCAAAAGGATGATTATATCCTGCTTTCTGCCAGGAGAGAGAAGGCTTGAAGCTGGTGCAATGGTTCTTGCTGATCGAGGTGTTGTCTGTATTGATGAGTTTGACAAGATGAATGATCAAGATAGGGTTGCAATACATGAAGTTATGGAGCAGCAAACAGTGACTATTGCCAAAGCTGGCATTCATGCTTCATTGAATGCCCGATGCAGTGTGGTAGCAGCTGCAAATCCCATATATGGATCTGTAAGTCATATGGTCAACTGTCTTCGTTCTTTTCTTGAAACATATTATAGATTGTGCAAATAGGTGATTATTATATGTTAACAATTTTAGCCCTCCTGTTTGTGTTACAAATTTATAGTATGATCGCTCATTGACGCCAACAAAGAATATAGGCCTTCCAGACTCCCTGCTCTCTCGATTTGATTTACTGTTTATTGTGTTGGATCAAATGGATCCTGATATTGACCGTCATATTTCGGAACACGTGTTGCGCATGCACCGGTATCGGTCTGATCTTGATGGAGGTAAGGAAATTGCATTCACTTGCTTAAAAATTTCAGTTATAGACACTATTTAATTACCCTAAAAAAATAGGTGAGGCAACGGGTGGGGGCTCAATGTATGGAAGAGAGGAGGAAGCTGAAGCTGACTCTTCTGTCTTTGTCAAGTATGATAGAATGCTCCATGGGAAGAAGACAAAACATGGTCGGAAGCGCGATACCCTCACCATCAAGTTTCTCAAGAAGTACATCCATTATGCTAAGCATAGGATACAACCTGACCTAACTGACGAGGTGGCCATTTATTTGCTGGCTATGCGTGGCTTTCATTTCACTTCTAATTCTAAATTGTTATATTAAAGTTGAACTGCAACTATTTTAACAAATAACTATTCCTAGTCCTCAATCTCGTCTCTCTATCTACTATTTTTTTTTTTCGATCCATTCTTTTGATAAGTCTTATGTTTAGCACAGGCATCTGAGCACATTGCAACAGCATATGCAGAACTTAGAAATTCAACTTCAAATGCGAAGGTAAGTTATATTTATCTAAAAAGTACACAACCACTGCAGTTAAGATTTCCAATTTGTCATCTGATTCAATATGCTTTACTCTGTAGACTGGAGGAACTCTTCCAATTACTGCCAGAACCTTAGAAACTATTATACGACTCTCAACTGCCCATGCAAAATTGAAGTTGAGTAGGAAGGTACATTGGTCTTGTTATGATCCTGATATTGTTTAGTTAATCTGAATTAATTTTCTTACTAGCATTTGTTTAAAAATTAATCTTCTTCCTTAACAATTTATCTGACAATGTAAGGTTTCAAAATCTGATGTGGAAGCTGCCTTGAAAGTTCTGAATTTTGCCATATATCATAAAGAGTTGACTGAAATGGAAGAGCGCGAACAAGAAAGAGAGAAAGAATTTGAAAGAAAACGCAGAGCTGAACTCCAATCAGTGGATAATGATGGACCAGATCGTAGTACTAGAAGACGAGAGGGGTAAGCTGTATACATAAAGTCTCTTCTGATCTAGCAGCATTATTTTGTGTAGATGTTTCTATATTTGATTTGTTTACCTAAAGCATAATCTTTAACCAAAGCATCCAATATGAATCCACACGTATCATATTTTCAATAATTAATATGCTGAAGAGACATTTTGATTTTCCTGTAGAAGCTGTCATTTTAATCATTTCACTTGTTTTTCTGTTTCATTAGCTCAAGAACAGATACCATGGAAATCGATGATCCTCCTACTGATGAACCTGCACCTGATCTGTCTACAGAAAGGTTCGACTGCTATCAATTGCATGACCTTCACCACATCTTAGTCTCACTTTTTTCTTTAAGAAGTATCTCCATTTTCATTCAATTTCTTCTTTGACTATTGTCTTGCAGAATCGAAGCATTCAATTCTTTATTTGGTCAGCACATGCGTGCAAACCACCTGGATCTTATATCTATTGCAGGCATCGAGAGCATTGTTAATGCTGCAGCAGATACTCGTTACAATACAGCTGAAATAATGTTGCTCTTGCAGGTAAAAAAAAAAAAAATCTGCCCTTTGAAGTTATTTGATCTAGGCCAGAATCTGTTGAGAAGATTTCTTAATTGTAAGTTCTATAGTTCGAGAGACAAATTCTAACCAATTTGGAAAATTTTCAGAGGCTGCAAGATGATAACAGGGTAATGATAGCTGATGGGGTGGTGCATATGATATCATGATTCATGAAGATTATCATCGGCAGGAACATAACATAGGTAAATTGGCCAATTGAAGTGTCTCAACTCAGAACGTGGATCTATCGGTAATCTTTTTCATATGTTCCTCAATTGGTAACAGAAGTAGCACATTTCCAGGAGAAACTGACTTGGTGGAAGATTACTTTTCCAGTTCAAAGCTCAAAAATTCAGTGGGAATCGCCCTCTTTCTTCTGTTGCCTGTATTTTATTAATTCTGAACTGTTACAGTTACTGGGCAGCCTTACTAAACTTGCTGGGTCAGTTGGTACATATGTTTTTTTGGAAAAATTCATGAGTAGCCCTCCTAGATAATATAAACTTCAAATAGACAACAGTTGGTTTCATCAACACCCTGAGAAGGGAGAGAAGAATGGATTTCCAATTAAAATTTTAACTTAGCCTTCAGTTCTACTTGGTTGCTCAAGTAAAAAGACTTTTTATCTATTCGATTTTGCGACTAGGTTCAAGAAATTTCTCGATTGGATTTGGATATTTTTTGGGTATGATTTTAAGTGTTTTATTAATTTAATTTTGTCAGAATAATCCATATATATAATCATTACTCAAGGTCTGGATTCTCATTACTTAGAATATATCTAGAATATATGGGAATTTAAATTTTTACTGATTTTATTTTTGGAGTTATGTTGAGAATAACGGGCATTCTAATTTGTTTGATAATCATTTTAATTTTAGTTTTATGTTTTAAAAAATTATGTTAACTTTTATTTATTACTTTTTTTTATCTCTTGAAATTGGAGAAAAAAAATTATTTTTTGAATACATTTTTTATTTTTAAACTGTCCTAAAATTTATTAATATTTATAAAAATTATAAAACAAAATGATAGAATATATAGGCGAAAGTAATTTCTTAAATTTGAAAACAGAAACAGAAAAGATGGTTCAGTCAGATTTATAAAAATTATATAGACTAAGGTTACGAGTTATCTAGTGCATTTATGAGTACGTATAGGAGCATTGTTTGTAGAACGAGACTCTACCAATTAGAAAATGCAAAATTTGAAATTAATAATAATTACCAATTGTATTTATCTGAAAGAAAAAAAAGAAAAAAAAATCAGACAGAAAAGAAGAAAGAAAACGGAGGAACTGGAAAGCGGGGCAGCGAGTAAAATAGAAATGGCGAATGGGTGGTTACATGGCGCCATTAGAGCCGCAGGAGAGAGATCCGTGGCTCTGCAATGGCCTTTCTTTTCCTTCCCACCGCCACCACTTCCTCCTTCTGCCAATTCAACTCTCAACGTCTCCATTTTTATCCTCTCTGCAAATCCTTTCTCGCCCTTTCCTACTTCTCCTCCAAGAAATCCCCCTCCCTCTCCATTCTCAACTCCAACAAGGTAATTCTTATTACTATTCTATCTCTGGTTGCCTCTGCGAAGTTGTTCTACCACCATTCACTGTTTAGTTACGAGAAAATGCTGGATTTCCATAACTTAACGAGTTGTTTAGGGCGTAATCTTACTCGCACTCTCAAGTGGGCTATTAGACTCGAGTTTCCTCTCCGCCGATCGCGCATATGATGTTGTGCAAAGGATCGGGAGGCCCCGAGTTTTAAATTTATGTTCATAATGTTCTTCGCGAGGTTTTTATGATCTCTAGTAATCTATTCTAAGCTCGATTTCCTGTTGGCAGATGGAAGGAAGTGAAATTACGGAAGAAGTTGCAGAGAAACAAAATGAGGACAATTTAAACGTGAAGAAAAAGATATTTGTGGCCGGTGCATCGGGAAGTACCGGAAAAAGGATTGTGGAGCAGTTGCTGGCAAGGGGTTTTGAAGTCAAGGCCGGGGTTCGAGACGTAAGCAAGGCGAAAACTACTCTTTCCCCTGGCAATCCTGATCTTCAAATTGTAAGTAAGTTTGTCCATTTTAAAAATTCCGATTCCATGGTAATTTGTTAGGTTGCGGAATATCTTGATTTCTTTCAGTTCTTAATATGTTAATAACATTTCAGGTGAAAGCTGATGTGACTGAAGGCTCTGCTAAGTTAGCAGAAGCCATAGGTTCCGATTCAGAAGCGGTAATCTGTGCTACAGGGTTTCGCCCAGGCTGGGATTTATTTGCGCCATGGAAGGTTTGCTTCTTACCATGAAACTATATTTGAAACATCAAACATAATTGTGAAAGTAGGAGCATCATCAAGTTAATGACCAGCTTGCTAATGCCAAGGGTTGAGTAGAGTAGTAAATTTACTCTTGGGTTGGACCTTGTCTCATGGATTTTAGACCCCTTTTGGATCCATTTAGATTAACCATCTGTGATAAAGATTGCTTGAGTTTAAAGTCTCTGTTCAAAGGTTTTGAAGTGCCAAAGAAAAAGTTGGAAAATATCTTGATGTGAATTGTGAAATTACCAGTAACTGCACACAGATTTCAAACAATTTCAGAATTCACATCAGTGAACCATAATATCCAAAGATTTCAAAACCCCAGGAACTTGTGTATGCTGAATATTCAACGTGGTGCTATCGTTACGCCATATTCTTCAAAGGTATAATCTAGAAACGATTACATTGCTGCAGGTTGACAACTATGGCACTGTAAACCTGGTTGAAGCATGTCGTCAGCTGGGCATAAACAGATTCATTCTCATCAGTTCAATTTTAGTCAATGGAGCTGCAATGGGGCAGATTCTCAACCCAGCTTACATCTTTCTGAATGTTTTTGGACTCACCTTGATGGCCAAGCTTCAGGCGGAGCAGCATATCAGGAAATCGGGTATTAACTACACGATTATTAGGCCTGGAGGTTTGAAAAATGATCCTCCCACTGGAAATTTAGTCATGACAGCAGAAGTAATCACATTCTCCCTTCTTGATCATTGCTTCTCTATGATATTTATGTGGCTAACTGAATCGTGGTTGTTTGTAGGATACTCTTTATGAAGGAAGCATATCAAGAGATTTAGTTGCAGAAGTAGCTGTCGAGGCATTGGTCCATTCTGAAGCCTCTTACAAGGTCGTTGAAATAGTTTCTCGTGCTGATGCGCCGAAGCGTACGTATGAGGATCTTTTTGGGTCCATCAAGCAGCGTTAGTTGTCTTTAGAGACCATCATATTTTCAGAATTATAGTGTTTGATATCTTGATTCAGCAGCAGTGCCTCATTTTCCAAGACCCCTTGGGGTCTTTAGCCTGTAATTCATAGCACTACGAATATACATGCATTTGCTAATGATGATGTGAAGCTTACATATTCTATCCTCTTTCTCAATAGGAAGATTAAGAATTACAAGAATTGAGGCATAAAAGACATCCTCCTCTTCCATGACATTAATTTTATAATACAAAGTGAAAATGAAGAAGTTTTGACAATGGAAAGGATTGATGGAAAGAACAAACAAAATCCATCATCTTTCCCCCCACAAGGATATATTGCTGTCAATGGAGGAAATCTTGTACTTGGTGGCAAGCTACACGCTATAATTCTATTCCTCAGTTAGGTTTGTCCAGAATTTGACGAAGCCTTCAACTTCTCTATTTGTTTCCGGAGATATGCCTGCCTCAGTTTCTCGCGCCGTGCTGTTGCCTGCTCTTGCCTGCGTAATTTCACCTCAGATGCCTTCTCTCTTGCTTGATTTACTTCTTCATGAACTTCCCTGAAGCAAACAAAGATCTCAACTTAAATCATTGAATGGAGGCCTCATTTCAGAACAAAGTTACAATGAAATCAGTGGCCAAGGGCTTGTTTGATACTTGATGTTCAAAAAAGTTTTCTACGTTAATCCTTAAAATTACAAAAAGTAACTATTTTCGTCCCTAAATTCTCATCACATTTGTTTTAGTTTCAAACTTTCATAACATAAATAGATTCTTAAACTTTCTAAACGAAACCATTTTGATACTTGCTGTATCATTTTTCCACCCAATATCTGTTTACCCCATACTCAGACTTCAACTTATGCAAATGTACTCACATAAACACATTAATACTCAAATCTACAAGATCAATTTATTAAAATCTAACCCATTAATACACACACTCAAATCTACAATATCAATTTGTTAAAATCAAAATACAGGTAAAGAAATAAAATGACTGTTTTCTTTTAAGTTCAAGGAGTGAAATAGATATTTTGAAAGTTCAGGACCAAAATAGATCGAACTTGAAAGTTCTGGAGGCAAAATACATGCTTTGAAAGTTTAGAAACCAAAACAAGATTTAAACCAATTCTATAAAAACATATTTGGATTACTGTCTTCTAAAAGTTGCTCTTTCTGGTTGTCTAATTAAATAGGGAAAGAGAAGTTCTACCTCACAAAGCGCTTGTGCTCATTGTTGTCCATTGTTCCAGACGTCCTCCCAAGTCCCGTTGTTTTTGGGTTAAACAAGAATGATGACTCAGTCTCATCTTCTGGAATGTCCATTTCTCCAGGTGCAGTAGCATCACGATCTTGCGATAGCTGTGATTCATCCTGCTCAAGATTCTTGCGGAAAAAATCGACACAATACTTCTCCTTATCTTCCTCGTCTGAAAGTTCCCCTTTCACTAGCTTGTCATATATCGCAGCCTTCTTCTCTAATGCCGCATAGCTTACCGATCCATCATTAATGGCCTTCAGCTCAAGCTTGTCCCTGGATTTTGACAGAAATATATTTCAGAGCTAGTTAGCTACATTAGTTTTAACGAGAACAACAAGAAAATTGACGTTACACCTGAAAATCACCATACAATATTTAAACATGATAACAATAGTAGTGACTCAAACTTTCTGTGGGTAAAACATCTCCGGTAATATCAATATCAATTATTTTACTTCAGTCTACGCTTAGCCTACACCTACACTGCTTCCCAGTGCATATAGTACAAAATTATGAGTTAGCATCCCACAACTCTGTTGTTGCTTTCATTCTCCCAGGACGTCAAGTAGAAGAGCGTGTGCCTATTTCTAAGGAAATGACAAAAGAAGGGACTTGAAACACAATACATTCAAAATACATTTAGCTGAGCCTGTCAAAGAGGATAATCAGTGGAGGGGAACCTAGAAAATAATTTGATTTCATTCAAAATACTGCTGCCTATACCAGTCAAACTTGCAGGAGTGAGGGGGTGAGCTCTAGAAAGTAGTAGGCACACTGCAGAATAACAGAGGATAAATGACTTTTTTGCCAAAATGAGGAAGAGTTCTTATTTTTCCTTTCCTTTTCTCCTTCTCCATTTATCTCTACTTTCTTTTCCTTTTTCTTTTTCCCGTTATTTCTTCTGGCTAGAATCTGCACTTGGCTTGACTTCAGAAAATTGGTTGGTTTTGTCCCAAGTCCCACTCAAATGTGCAAATACTATTAACTGCAAATGTCCAACCACTTCCGAATATATAGTGCAACATTGTGTTCGAGCTCTCATAAAACTGTAACATGGAGCAAACATAGGCAACCTGCCTGCCAAGAATTTTCTTTTTTGGGAATAGGAAATAGATATTTTATTGATGATACCAATATGAAATATTACAAAAAAGGAGAGAGGCAGACCCCCTATGCCAAGGAAGGTTACAAAGATGGGAACACTTAGATAATTGAGACTATAAAGTAGCATTTAGATCAAGATAGAGCAACAACAAAAGCCGTTTCTAGAAAAGTATCAAAGGTTATGTTGCGCTGTTGACAGTTTTGTTGTTCCTTCTAAGCCAAATTTGACAAAATAAAGATCTATTAATTTGTAGTCAAAGAATCCCCCTTTTATTCTTAAAAGGAATGTCCAATCATGATGGTGACAAGGAGGCCATTCAATTTAAGGAAATATTACGACCATTAACCATTGGCAAAGGGATGATGAGAAATAAACAACCTTGTGTCTCTATATCATTCAAAATACACCACCCTGGAGTGAACTTGTGTTGGAAATTCTCTTCTGGAATCGCATTGTGTGTGCTGAAACTTACCTGACTATACTCCTCTGGGAGAATTTAAATTTTTCGGAAAATTTACCATGCCAAAGTCCACTATAGATAGAATGGTGGGAAAGGACCTATTTTTGTACCAGCTCGTTGAAAAGGGAGAAACCTGAAAAAGAGCTGAAAGGCTCTAAGGGCCACTGCTAGATATCTTAATAAGGTTCATTCGATGATATCTTCCTCAATAAGGAGTCTTCTGGAGTTGCAATCCCAACTACGAGAGGTGGTTGTCCTAAACTAGGCCCTATTTCCTCACTCATAATTACAATTAATATTGTGGCAAAATCAGACCAATCAACATCAAACGGGGTTACCTCTTACCTATCATGGTAATATGGCAAGATGAGCACATCAGTCCATTATCTATGTACGATCAAGAAAAAGGACTTGCTTTCACGCCTACTAAATATTTTGCTCAGTAAAATGACAAACAGTTATTAAACCCATGCATCGATTAAGTGTTCAGATACTTCCCATTGTCAAATGGAATTTGATTACTTTTAGTCCTTCATTCTGCAAACAGCCCGGATCAAGCCTTACTCCTGGAGGTCGAGTAAGTAGCTAATACTTTAATTAGCTTCAAAGTTCGTATTGATGTTTAGTTCATATAAGAGGGATAAGCTTCGCCTTGCTAAACTTTCACCTATACAGGTGTAAAGTTCTTGTTGTAAATTAGTTAAGCTTGAAGGTTCTAATGTATTACTGCATCTCTATATTCTTTTTATACTTCTATTATTGACAATTTAAATTACGACAAATGTTTCAAATTGAAGAACTACAAGAAACTATTCATTTGATCTAGGTTTGTTTTCTTAAACTTAAATGATACAACTCCATTGTCACTTTGTACCTAGGTATTGTCTGCAACAAGTTGACGAAAAATACTATTAGAAAAACAAATCAATGAAATATTTGATGCTCTTATCCCCCAAACTCCCAATGACCAAAGCCAAACAGAAACTCGCTGATTCGATCTCGAAAATTAAAACAGGGAACTGAAGTTATAAAGGAAGAAATCAGAAACATACTTGAGAGCGCGAGCCTCAACGCCGGAATTGTGGGAAGAGAGAAGGTCTTTTGGAGTAATCTTCTTCTTGGCACGGTGGAACTCAACGCCGGGGCCAGCCAATTCCTTGGACCTCTTGGACTCTTCTTGAGACATATAGAGGTGAGCCTTGAGCTCCATGATTGAAGATGCGCCGACGCCAGCTATGGCCTTGTGCTTCTTCGGCATGATCGAAGACTCCGTGAGCCATCCCAGCGATTCCACAACCACCCTCTTCTTCTTTCCCTCCTCTCCCATCTTCGTAAGCCTCGTCAGTACTGGCGAACGAGTAATCGAAGAGAGAAATTATCAGGAATTTCGAAGCCCTGCTCCTTCAGATTCTGCTTCTTCTTCTTCTTCTTCTCTGCAAAGTTCGGAGATGAAACCCCCCTTGCGCTTTAAGCCTCAACCTTCCTTATGCAATGTTGCCGATGATTCGGGCCGTGAAGATGGAGCTCAAACTCGACCCGACTCGGTTTCAACTTTAAATACAGCCGAAAATGCCCTTTTTAGTTCCTTGTGGAAATTTATATGTCGGTTCCTCTAATAAATTAATTTTTAAAAATGTCAATATTTAAAAAGTTATAAAACTAATTAATTATCGTTGGAATAGTATTTTAAATTAATTAAAAATTTTCTTGACATATATATTTTATTCGAGAGGTTGTGCGTTTGATCTCTATACTCAAGAGAAAAAATTAAGACGATTAAAAAATTAAAAAATTTTAAGAAAAAATTACTTTGCCAAGTTTTGACTCTGATTAGATTCTTAGCGCAAGAGAATCGAGCGTGGGCCTTGAAGACCCGACGAGTGCGTCGCTTCATGTTTGTAATGTTATATTCCTTTTTAAAATTATAATATCTTTTCTCTTGTCAAAATCTCAAAGAAAATAGAAATATCTTAATATTATCAATTTGAGAGTATAGATTACATACTTATCTGTAATGATTTAGCATTATTCATCTCTTATTGGTCCATCCAACCCCAACCTATAATAATACTAATTGTTATTATTCCTGCAAAAATCTCAATTGACAATCGAAGAGTTGTTTTTCACAAATAAAGGAACATTGGTCATGCAATGGTACGTAAAAAAGAAGAGGTATGATAACTCGAAATGGCATCTTTCATTTCCCGATAGATTAACAAAATAATTGTTCCATGCTTTGGGGCATTATCTTTTACGAAGTTAAAACCAATATTACACTACTATTTTTTTTAGTCTACAACTCATCATGGTTTAAAAAGCAAATAGTTCTTCATGGAGAATGAGGACTGTCTGTCCAGACCACAAGGATAGAAGCCAGACATAAACTGGTACAATCTTAAAAGTCGATATCAAGAGTCAATAAGATTCACGCTTCGAAGTTACACAAACCCGATACTCGATATGTTTATGAACCTTATCATCCAAACATTACACCCCAACATCAACGTTTGAGGTCATGACATAACAGGCACAATAAGGCGACACATGAAAAACAATATGATATCCAAAGATTTCATAATAGGCCGATCATATAGTTCCATAAGAAACAAAAACACATGGCAATAAACCCCAAAAATTAATGTCTGGCTCTGGTACTACATAATAAGAAGATAAACGTTGAAGAATCCACTGATAGGAAGGTCTCTACCATAGATTTCAAAATAAGACAACTCTGATAAATTTTTTCTCATTCCCTGAAAAAGCAAGAAAATTACATAAACAAATTGGGCCTTGAAGCCTTGTAAGTGGTCTTCAGCTTTCTGGTGGGTGGCCTAACAGTCCTGAACACCAAGGGGAACTTGATCTTGGAGTCATGGAATTGCTTGGTGCTTTCCCTCTTGCAAAGCTTTGCAGGGACAGTCGCAGTCTTGATGATTTGGATGCAAGGATACCTGACCCTATGGCGAGAAGCCATTTCGTTGTACATTGCCTCCACCGCTCCATTTAAGGTGGTGTCGCGGTATTCCTTGTACATGTTGTGATATCCTGTACGACTTTGGTAGCGCAACCAAATACCATAGTTCTTGATCTTTGTTGGATTCTTCTCAAAGATCTACAGACAATGACAATTCAATGAGAACAGCCTAACTAAAAAATAAAACTAATGATGTTTCAGTGCGTTATGATAAAATTTAGCAAACCAGAAATAGGTCAGAAACTCAACCCTGTTAAGTAAATGCTTATTAAAAAAAACTTGGAAGTAAGAACCACAATCATGTCAAATTTTGTTCCAGCAAGAATCAATAGTTATACTGGGAGTCGAAGCTTTGCTCCGATATACCCAGGGGCACCCGCGCCCACCCAAAGACCCAAACCAGGAAACATCAAAGGCTTTTGGTATTAAGCTCACCAGATGGTCCACCATATAGATAGATCAAAAGCATTCATTTACATAGTAGATACTTCCTTTTCCCTTATATCATAATATTTGCATTTCAAAAACCATTAAAAATCTTTAACCAATAAAATATCCAATATCCAATAAAGTTAATAGAACAGAGAGTGTACAGTTAATCCAAATACCATTCACAAGTGACAAGAGTGAATAAACACAAAAAAACCCCCCACAATTCCTCATCCACCATAAGTTATTCAGCAATAACGTGGAGCACCATTCAATGTTCATGAAATATTCACTACAATAGCAATCCTTCCACGAGTACTAAAGGTGATGCCATACCAAACAAACACTGATAGAGAATCAAAACCCTATGGAAGTTTTCACTATTACATTCAAAGAACAAAGGTTGTATAGATAAACAAAGGAACTGAAACGAGCACTGAACAAGAAGTTATAATCGTTCAGAAAAAATTGGAATCACAGTAACGGGTTACAAGGAAAAGGGGAATAGTTCAACACTAATGCCTCTATTCTTTCTTGGAAAATAACAATGTATTCACCTGTGAGCCAACATAACATCACCTAAACCAATAATCAGACAAAAGGGTGTAACCCCAAGCAATTAAATCTAGTACAGTTCCAACTGGGAGGACAGGAGACAAACACACATTACCTCGTTGATAGCGAGCACCTGACCGTTGCTCTTCTTGACTTTCTTCAGCTTCCGCAGAAAATACCTAACACAGAGCAGGAAAGACAAACAAAGGAGGGTTTAGCTAACAGTGAAATCAAGAAAGCGTAGAGCATCGATTTTATTAATCGATAAACCAAAAAACATAGTAACCCTCTTCAAACAATGTGATCAAACAAAAACACGAAAAAACTCACCAAAACTTGGATTTAGCGCGGACTTCGTTAGTCGCCCAAAGCTTCATTCGGTAAATCTTGGGATGCTCATCTGCTTCAGATGGGAGAGCCCTTCCCACAACCTGGTATTGGTGGAACTGCAAAAAGAAACCCCAAATCGAACCGAATCAACAAAAACGCAGAGAAAGAGTGATTTGAATCTCATGTCCGTTCACTTATTCAACAAATCTTCAAAATGGAGAAAGATAAAGAGACAATTGCAGCTCAGAGTGGGAATGCTTACCCTGAAAGTAACCATTTGCGACGAGTTTAGAGCTCTGGACGGTCCGCCTGGTACTTTCTCGGAGATGCAGGGTTTCTGCGGCTAAGAGACAGGAACGAAAACCCTAGTTGCTCTCTTCTATATATATTGTTCAATCGGCCCAAGGCCCTATTCTATTATAATTGATTTTTTTTTATTTGAGATAATTTCTTTTTTATTTTTAAGTGTACTCTGTTATTATACCAGTAATAATAATGACTGGTTTTAAAAATGAGTATCTAAAAGTAAAAAGTAACGCCGAAGAGCTCASTAGGTTAAGACACTTGGATTTCAACAGGTCATGAGTTTGATTTTTTCTACTTCTACATGTTGCACTCAACAAAAAAAATGTTGATACTGAAGAAACACTATTGTGAATTTGATGTATTTTAGCCTCATCCTAAACAAAATAAATGTGAACAAAATATCATTTTGAAAAATGGGTACTAGAATAAAACTGAATGGATAACGGAAAAGCAAGTTTTGTTTCTTTACGAAAACAAACTTGTTAACATTTGAGGAAGAATACTTTTAGGGGAACAGTAAATTATAAAATATGGGAAGAGCTTACATGTTAATTGTCACGTTGTTTTAAAATCTTCTACCTCTACTTAATATTCAAAATATTAACCGATGTTTGCTCAAATTGCATCTTTTTAACGTTTGTGAAAAGTGAAAGGTAGTATTAAATTTTTTTAAATAATATGAATAATTTTGTAATTTACCCTAAATTGTATCATAATGTGTTTTTTTTTCGAGTTTATATTGTCATGTTTTAGTTATTTATTTTTAAATTTTAATTTTGAACCATTCTTTTTCGAGCACGAGCCTGCATCGTAATAACATCGTAAGGGCATAACAAGAAGGAAGAACAATGCCACTATTTGTTTGTTTATATTAAAAATATATATATTATTAATCTAGTGAGAGCAAAGACGATGATGGAAAACTATCTACATCATCGCTCCACTGTGATAAAATTTTAACCTCCAACTTTAAGATAATAAATTAAGTTATTTTACGACTGAATTATGTCTATATTTATAACATGGAGTTGAAACTACGTCAACTCATCAATATTTATCGAACACGTTAAAAAACAACTAAAGTAGAATGACATGTATTTTGATCGGAAGGTAACAAATGAGTTAAGAAAGGAAAAAAACAAAGGGTAAAAAAGGGTGATGCTAAATTATTTCATTCAGTACTTTTTAAAAGATTATTCATTAGAAAAAAAAAACAATTTTAAAGCAGTATTCCTTAATAAGCCCACCATTTTCAACGAGCCCAGTTAATAGAACAAGTGCACGCGGCCCAGATAATCCAATTCAAGAAGCCCAATATTATGTCCTCGACGAGGCCCAAAGTCTATTCGAGTCAATGTTATTTTGAAATAAGAAAACAATAATAACAATAAGAATATGTTTCAAACAAAATAATAATAATAATAATAACAATAAGAAAATACATTTTGAGACTTGGACGTGGTAATATAGTTTTTTTAGTACAACATGTGAGAGTGGGATATTGAACTCACAACCTCTTGATTGAAGATATATGTCAATTATTGTTGGATTTTTAATAGTGAAAGAAAGTGAAACTTGAAGATATTGAGAAAACCGTTGAGTATACAAATTTAACATCTGGATATTAAATTTGTATATTAAGAATTTGAAACTTATTTTACATTTGCAACAATTTCATTATTTATTTCATGAAGTTGTTTTTGTTTCAATTTTGTGTTATGTAACTTTATTTTGTTAAAGTTACATGTTGTTAAACTTTAAGTTATACTTCAAATGAGAAGTTTTTCTTCATGTTGTTAAAGTTGAACTTAATTCTTATGTGAGGAGTTTCATGTTTAAACAACTATATATAGTTGTGATTTTCTTCATTTTGATATATCTAAGCATACCACAATTGGGTATTCTCCTATTCCCACAAGAATTCTCTCTTCT